TGGGCCGCTTTAAGACTTGGGGACTTCAACTCCCAGCATTCCTCAGCGAGCAAAGCTGGCTGAGGAATCCTGGGAGTTGAAGTCCCCAAGTCTTAAAATGGCCAAGTTTGGGGTGGGGGGGGGCTGATTTTAGCCCATGGCATCCACAGAAGTCATGCAAACACGGATACACCATGCTAATAATCCACATTACAGAGTTCTCCACTTACAGTGACCGTTCAAAGTCACGACGGGGCAAAACTCACTTAATGTCTCACTCGACAACATGGGCTCCGTGGTGGTCGTAAGCCGAGGACGGCCTGCAAACGCCCCATTGCATGCGCGCCTATAAGCTACGCTGGCCATGCAACACGCCAGGTAAAGCAGAGGGCAGAGGTCAAAGGTCCGGGGGGGGGCGACACAGGCCGGGCCCCTTCGCCCAGGCAGAAGTTCAACCGGTACGCGAGAAGCGCCCCATTCCCGCCCCGTGGCGGCTCCCCCGGCGGCCCCGACGCCCGTCCTGACCAGCCCAGCGCGGCCCCCGCGGCGGATGGCTGTGGATTATTGGCCTCCCCATCGCTCACCATGGCTGCACACCGGCTCCTCTCGCTCTCGACTCGGCCGGAAAAGGAAGCGGTGCACCGCGAGAGGCCCCGACGTCGGTCCCGCCCCCGGAGCCGAAGGGAAACTTCCGGTATTGGCGAACATAGAGTTTTAGGAGGAGCGTCGCTCCCACAGCCGCCTTAGACAAAAGCCACTTGGGCCTACATCATAGAGAGATAAAATGTTGAGAGGCGCCCTGAGGAGGCTCGAGGGCGTATCGTACAGTCAGTACACCTCTGTGAGCGAGAGATGAAGTGTGGCCGCCCTATTGTGTCCGGACGGGAAACTAGGAAGGAGAAACAAAAAGTTCCGACCCGGTTAAGCCCTTAAGAAGCGCCTTTTTTTTGTTTCTTTTCCAGCCGGAAGGAAATGTCAGGGACTCCTGCCGCGGAGGATAACTTAAAACGTCGCCGCGAGGTTTCCTGGGAGTCGGAGTCTCTTTCGCCCAGGTTTAGCGGGGGGACCGGAAGTGCCCTTCCGCAACCCCGGAAGTGGTCCAGCTGGTGCGGCCATGGCGTCCGCGGTGGGTTCCGAGCCGGAGGAGATGCGGCGCCGCGCGCAGGGACAGCTCGGCCCGGGGGACCCGGAGGAGGAGGAGGTGGGCGGCGCTCGGTCTCCCTTCCTCCCGAGGCCTCGCTCCGAGGCCGGCCGTGTTCCCGGCCACGCCCCCTTTGACTCCCCCCCGCCAAACCAGCCTTCTTACCTGGCGCCTACGACCTTCGGGGTCCCGGAGGCGACCGCACGGTGGAGTCTCGGCCTGCCTGCGGGACGGGCGGAATTGCCCGCTCCCGTGCAAAGCTGCCTCCGCCGCTTCGGGCCTTCCTGGGGCGCCCCCCCTTCTTCTGGGGCAGGGCTCTCCAACCTTGGCCCCTTTAAGACTTGTGGACTTCAACTCCCAGAATTCCTCAGCCAGCAATCAGATAGATAGATAGATAGATAAGATAGAAAGATAAGATAGAAAGAAAGAAGAAAGAAAGAAAGAAAGAAAGAAAGAAAGAAAGAAAGAAAGAAAAAGAAAGAAAATATAATTCTTTATTGGGCAAGTGTCATTGGACACACAATGAATTTGTTTTGGTGCAAATGCTCTCAGTGTACATAAAAGAAAAAAATACATTTGTCAGGAGTCCAGAATCATAAGGTACAATACTTAATGATAGTTATAGGATTCAAATAAGCAATCAAATCAGATAGGTAGGTAGGTAGGTAGGTAGATAGAAAGAAAGAAGAAAGAAAGGAAGGAAGGAAAGAAAAAAGAAAGAAAGAAGAAAGAAAGAAAAAGAATAGAATTCTTTATTGGCCAAGTGTCATTGGACACACAAGGAATTTGTCTTGGTGCAAATGCTGTCGGTGTACATAAAAGAAAAGATACATTCGTCCAGAGTCAAGTATCATAAGGTGCAACACTTAATAATAGTCATAGAGTACAATAGCCATGAAATCATACTAGGAAACAGTCAATGTAAACCTTAAGGATACAAGGAACAAAGTTACAGTCCTACAGTCACAAGTGGGAGGGGATGGGTGATAAGGAGTGTTGAGAAGATTAGCAGTAATAGTAGTGCAGACTTTGTAAATAGTTGAACAGTGTTGAGGGAATTATTTGTTTAGCAGAGTGATGACGTTTAGGAAAAAACCATCCTTGTGTCTAGTTGTTCTGGTGTGCAGGGCTCTATAGTGTCGTTTTGAGGGAAGGAGTTGAAACAGTTTATGTCCGGGATGTGAGGGGTCTGTAAATATTTTCAGAGCCCTCTTTATGACTCGTGCAGCATACAGGTCCTCGATTGAAGGCAGGTGGGTAGCCATTGTTTTTTCTGCAGTCCTAATTCTCCTCTGGAGTCTGTGTCTGTCCTGTTGGGTTGCAGAACCAAACCAGACAGTTATGGACTACAGATGACGGACTCAGTCCTTCCTCTGTAGAACTGGATCAGCAGCTCCTTTTGGGCAGTTTGAGCTTCCTACGTTGGTGCAGAAAGAATGTTCTAGGGAACGTCATTGGGGCTAGTAAGAAATGGGATTTGCTCCCAGTGTATATTTACGACCAGGAGAGACAGGAGAGCATCTTCCAATATTTGAGCGGCTGCCACAGGGAGGAGGAAGGGGTCAAGCTATTTTCTAAAGCTCCTGTAGGCCAGACAAAGAATAATGGATGGAAACTGAACAAGGAGAGATTCAACCTGGAAATAAGGAGAAACTTTCTGACAGTGAGAACAATCAACCCATAGAACAGAAGTTGCCCTCGGAAGTTGTGGGAGCGCCATCACTTGAGACCTTCAAGAAGAGATTGGACTGCTATTTGTCAGAAATGGTGTAGGGTCTCCCGCTTGGGCGGGGGGTTGGACCAGATGACCTACAAGGTCCCTTCCAACTCTGATTCTCTGTATCTGTATATTGGTGATTCCTTTGGTTGGGCTAAACGTCAGTGGGGATCCTCAGTCCTCCTGATCATGGTTGTCCCAAAGGTTCGTTTTTTTCAAGAGGCAACTGGACTTTCTGGTAACGATTCAAAGGCCTGGAGGCAAAAAACACGGGAAGAAGAACGGCTGTAGACTCTGGGTCTGGCCAGTCTAGAAAAAAGAAGAATTAAGGGGGAGACATGACAGCAGTCTTCCAATGTTTGAGGGGCTGCCACAGAGAGGAGGAGGGTCAACCTGTTTTCCAAAACACCCGGAGAAGAAATACCGGATGGAAGCTTTATCAAGGAGAGAACCCATACGGAACTAAGGAGAGATTTCATGACAGTATGAACAATGAACCAGTGGAACTCCTTGCCACCAGAGGGTTGTGGGGGCTCCACCGCTGGAAGTGTTTAAGAAGAGACCGAACATCAATCTGTCCGAAATGGTTTAGGGCCGTGATGGCGAACCTATGGCACGCGTGCCACGTTTGTGCCGGCGAGTAAGCTGCAGGCAAACTTACCTCACTGTGCATGTGCGCGCCTCACCACTGATTTTTCAATGGGTTTGAGGCCCTTTTCGGCCTCCCAAAGGCTTGAGGAAGGCTTCTGCAGGCTTTGCAGGCCGAAAGCTAGCCCCGTTTCGTCACTTCCGGTTTTTCTGGAAATACCAGCAGTGATGAAACGGGCCTAGTTTTCGGCCTGCAGAAGCCTTCCTCAAGCCTTCTGGGAGTTGAAGTCCACAAGTCTTAAAAGTTGCCAAGGTTGGAGAGCCCAGCTCTTGCCTGTTCTAAAAGTTCCTTGAGGGAGGAGTGAAAGCACAGAGATCACTCTCCTTCTGGCCCCTCTGCACTACGTGGCCCATCCTTCCCCGCTGAATGGAACCGTCCCTGTCTGACCTTGTTGGCAAGCCCTCTGGAGCAAGCCCCTGCCCTTAAACGCTCTCAGGCCCAGAGCCGTGAGGGAAGGCCTTGCTGGAAGGGTGGCAAGGCCCTTCCCATCAGGACAGGACGGTTTGACGTACCCCACCCCCTCCCCCCAAAATCAGGGGCATAACAGGGTCCTTTGTTGTGTCCCCCGCAGGGCCAGAGCGATGAGGCGCTGCCCCTCCACCTGGGGGAGCTGGACCTGACCTCCGAAGAGTTCATCCTGGACGAAGTGGACAGTAAGCTGGGCCATACATTTTGTGTGTGTGTGTGTGTCCTCTCACAACCCACCCCTGCAGCTTCTCTACAGCTGGGACTGTGACCAGGGGAGGGAGGGGGCTGATGTTTTATCAAGGAAAACTTCCCCCCCTCCCCAAAATGTAGAGTAAAAAGAGGATTCCCACCCTCTATGGCAGAGGTCTCCAACCGTGGCCACTTGTGGACTTCAACTCCCAGAATTCCCCAGCCAGCACGTCCGGCTGAGGAATTCTGGAAATGGAAGCCCTCAAGTGGACTGGCTGAGGAATTCTGGGAGTTGAAGTCCACAAGTGGCCAAGGTTGGAGACCCCTGCTCCGTAATCACCTTACAGAGAGGGTGGAAACTCAGGTGCCCAGGAGAAGCCACAGGCATGTTGCGTCCATCGTAGTGTCTTTGTCATCACACACGCACACACACCCTAGGGGAAAGGCATACAGAAAGTGTCTATTCCCAGTTTTCCCAACTGGGAAGAGCCGTTCCCAGTCTCCCAGTAGGAGCTGCTGTGTCTCAACAGCTCCCCCTCCCCCCGTTTGACAAGAGGACATTCTTACTGGTGCAGCTGAGGGTGGGGGAGTGCTCTAGTCCCAGGACAGCACCTTGGGAGCCTGTTTGCTCCAGGCCTAATATTTCCTCCCCTCCCTCTCTCTTTCAGTTCACATCCAAGCCAACCTGGAGGATGCCCTGGTGCAGGAGGCCCTGAAGACGGTACGGAAGGCCGGGGAGGGGGTGGGGGGGGGGGGGGGGGCTGATTCCTGGGGGCTCCCTTTGTCGTCCCCCCCAGCGGGGAGCTAGTACCGGGAGGAACTCACCCCTTTAGCCCACTGTTGTCCTTAACAGGCACCCTAGATATTAAGGAGAGCAAGAACATTGCCTCTCTGCACACCCAGATCACGGCCTGCGATGCTGTGCTGGAGGTGAGCACTGCACCTCTTCGGAGGGAGGGACTGGGCTTCCCTGGTTTGGGGAGGGAGGGAAGGACTGGGCCATTAGAGCAGGGGTGTCAAACTCAAGCTCTAAGCACCCTGCAAGCTGGATACAGCCTGCGGGGTGCTTAGATCTGGCCTGCAGGCCCGCCCTGGAAACAGTGAAGGTGTCAACTATGCCTGTTTTAGTAGTTGCCATAAAAAAAATGGGGGGGGGGAGGAAATCTGGAAGAGCCATTTGAAATCGAAAGTATATTCCAACTCTTTATCTTTCAAAGATTGTAACTCAAATACCAGAGCTTTTGCCTGAAAGTACGTTCCACACTTAACTTTACAAAGATTGTAACTAAGCTACCGAATCTTCTGCCTGGGAAAATCCTTAGTTGGAGAATGTGATTGATGACACACCCAGCCCATGAAGGTGCTCAGTTGGGGAATCTGGTTTATGAGACACCCAGGGAGGAGGGGGGAGGGAAACAGGGTCACAGGGGACTGTGAATGACGTAGGCCAGAGTTGGCTCCATACAGGGCAGAGCCAGTATGTCTCCTCTTAACAAATCCTTCAAAATTGGTTGAAGTTTGGCTCAAGTATCATGATTTAATTAGAGTGATTGCTGGAATCCTGGCAGAAGGACCAGCCTGCGATGTCTGATGACCCAAAGGGGCGTGGCACAAAAGCCAAAAGTCACAAAAGTAGGTAATGTCCTTTTAATTCCTCCAACTTGGCCTCCAAATGTCCAGTTATCGGCTGGAGAAAAAAAAACTCTCCCAAGAACAGTTTTTAAAGGGAAGAAATCCCTTCCGAACCCAAATTACGTCTAAATGATAAATAAAAAGGAACACAATCCACGCTTCAGCAATTAACGAGAGACGGCAGGATAAGGAATTGCAGACTTTTAAAAGATAACGAAAGACACCCAGTTGGGAGGACGCCAGAACCCAGATAAGACTTGACAAACCAAAATAATGCACGCTTTGCTCCCAGCAAGGTGCTGTGCGCAAACACTCACTTTATCCTGTTTTCCCAGTTGCAGCTAATGAAGGGGATTAGGGCCTTTTTCTCCCCCGTAAGCCATGTTGCTCCCTTCTCCGTTCCTCCCTGCATGCCCTAGGATGAAGAGGGGGTGGGCCTGGGTCTTCCTCTGAATGTCCAGCCAGACTGTGCCCTTCCTCAGTTTCCTCCCCAGCCACTACAGCCAAACTCCCACCCCTTGTCAGCTGCTCAGCTTCCAACAGGGGCATGACACGGTGCCTCTGCCAGCGAAAAGTCCTGGTGGGCCACATGCAGTGGCCCCGAGATCCATTTTTTCTGACACCAACTCTATTTAGCCAATAGGGGAGAGAGGGAGGGAGGGAGGGGGAAAAAGAAAGGGAAGAGGGAAGGACTAGAATAGAATAGAATTCTTTATTGGCCAAGTGTCATTGGACACACAAGGAAATTGTTTTGATGCAGAAGGGATGGTTTGGAACCGCTTGATCCCAGACATTGTGGGCACTCCAACCCTGGTGGAGGATTTTAAGAAGAGATTGGGACGTCCTTTTGTCTGGAATGGGATATGGTCTCCTGCTCGAGCAGGGGGTTGGACTAGAAGACCTTGAAGGACCCTTCCAGCTCTCATATTCTGTCTGCCTGCCCTCCCTTCCTCCTTTCCTTCCTTCCTCCCTCCCTCCCCCCTTTCCCTCCTTTCTTTTTTCCTTCCTCCCTCCTTTCCTTCCTTCCTTCCTCCCTCCCTCTTTCCTCTCCCTCCGTCCTTCTTTCCTTCCTTCCTTCCTCCCTCCCTCTTTCCTTCCTCCCTCCTTTCCTTCCTTCCTTCCTCCCTCCCTCCCTCTTTCCTCCCTCCTTCCTTCTTTCTTTCCTCCCTCCTTTCCTTCCTTCCTTCCTTCCTCCCTCCCTCCCGCTTTCCTCCCTCCCTCTTTCCTCCCTCTTTCCTCCCTCCTTCTTTCCTTCCTTCCTTCCTCCCTCCTTTCCTTCCTTCCTTCTTCCCTCCCTCTTTCCTCCCTCCCTCCCTCCTTCCTTCCTCCCTCCTTTCCTTCCTTCCTTCTTCCCTCCCTCTTTCCTCCCTCCCTCCTTCTTTCCTTCCTCCCTCCTTTCCTTCCTTCCTTCCTTCCTCCCTCCCTCCCGCTTTCCTCCCTCCCTCCCTCCCTCCTTTCCTTCTTTCCTTCCTTCCTTCCTTCCTTCCTTCCTTCCTTCCTTCCTTCCTTCCTTCCTCACTCACTCACTCACTCACTCACTCACTCACTGGAGTTTTCTTTTTCTTTTTAAGAAGTCCGTCCTGTTCTGTGAACAAAGTCCCCAAGTAGCCTGGCAGGATCGGGGTTCTAAGGCCGGAATCTCCCTCTTCAGCAATGGCCCCTTGTGGGGCTTCTCCTGGGGGGGGTCCTGAGGGAGCAAGGAGTGGGGGGCTTTTGGGTAGATGCCTCCTTCCCCTTTGGGGAGAAGGCAGGTAGGCTGCTGTGACCTGACGTTGGATGACACCCTTTGTCTGAAGTGGTGTAGGGTTTCCTGCCTAAGCTGGGGGTGGGACTAGAAGACCTCCGAGGTCCCTTCCAACTCTATGATTCTAAGATCTAAAGGGGCTCCCATGTGCATATCTGGCCCCGTTCCCTGCACCCCCCAGAATGCTGGTTCTTGGAGGGCAGGGTAATGGGGATCTCTCCTTTTTTCCTCCCCGCAGCGCATGGAGGCCATGCTGAGCTCCTTCCAGTCCGACCTGAGCAGCATCAGCTGTGAGATCCAGACGCTGCAGGAGCAGTCGGTCGCCATGAACATCCGGCTGCGCAACCGCCAGGCCGTCCGCGGCCGCCTCTCCCAGCTGGTGGATGAACTGATGGTGCCCAACGTCATGATCAGGTCCGGCCGGGTGGAGGAGGGGCCGGTCATCCTGGCGGGGGAAGGTCTGGCAGAGAAGGGAGGGTGGGGGGCCCCGGAGGGGGAGGGGAGAGGATGCCCGGCTGACGGGCCTCCCCTTCGCCAGCACCATCCTGGAGACGCCGGTGACTGACCAGGCCTTCCTGGAGCAGCTGCATGAGCTGAACAACAAGATCAACGCCGTCAAAGAGCAGGCCTTCCGCGAGACCATGGCCTGCACGGACGTGGCCGACATCCTGGACAAGCTGAAGGCCAAGGTGAAAAGCCAGGATCCTGGCCAGGGCCACGAGGGAATCTAAGGGCCAGAGCGGTGGAACTCAGGTGCCGGATTCCCCTGCCCCCCACCCCCCCTTTGGTAGCACCGCAGGGCAACGGGCCCTTCGACTGTGCAAGGGTCACTCCTGCAGGATAGTAATAGCCTTATATCCCACTGTCATGCCCCTGTCAGAATCTGACTCAGAGGAGGAAGCCGAACAGCTGACGGAGTGAGAGAGTGGCTCCATTGGCTGTGGAGGAAACTCGGGAAGGGCAAAGGTTGGCTGGGCAGAGCAGGGAAGAGGTAGAAAAAGGGAGAGGGAATTCGGAGGAAGACTCAGGCCCACCTCCTCTTCATTCTAGGGCAAGCAGGCAGGAATGGAGAAGGGAGCAAAATGGGTTGCATGGCTTACAGGGGAGGAAAGGGCCCTGATTCCCTTCATTAGCTGTAGCTGGGAACACAGTGTATAAAAAAAGGGAAACTGCACGCAGCAAGCTGTTAGGAGCGAACGTGACTTTATTCTGTGCTGTCGTGGCTTATCTGTGTCCCTGGTGAAAAGAATCCTGCACGTCTTCCCCGAAGAGGCTTTTTCCAAGAGGCAACCGGACTTTGTTTTTTCTGTTGAAGACGTTTTGCTTCTCATCCCAGAAGCTTCTTCCACTCCGACCGGATGGTGGGGAATGGAAGGATTGATACTCCTTGCAGACTGCTGGTCATTTGCATCCTTTTAGAGAGTCGTTGAGACCACTTGGAGGTGACCCTGAGGACACAGAGAAACCTCCAAGTGGCCTCAACGACCCTCTAAAAAGGACGCAAATGACCAGCTGTCTGCAAGGAGTATAAATCCTTCCATTCCCCACCATCCAGTCCGAGCTGAAGAAGCTTCTTGGATGAGGAGTGAAATATCTTCAAAAGGAAAAAAACAAAGTCCAGTTGCCTCCTGAAAAAGCTCCTTGGGGTAACTACGACCTGGAGGACTGAGAATCTCCATAGATTCTGCATGTCTGAATGCCCTTCCTCTACCCTTCCTCTATCTTTGTGAGAACCAGGGAGGGTTACGTCTGAAGGGCTTTCTTGGGTTACTTTTCTGGCCCAGACTCAGGTTTCTTTTACCTGTTGTCTCAGTTTTGACTCTTCCTTCCATCCCTCAAGGTTGCCCCATCCTCCCCTTAGAGCAGGTGGTCCCACCGATGCGTTCAAGCATCACTTTTCTGGCCTTGGCTGCAAGGCTCTGGCTGCAGCATTGCCAGAGGAGTTGGCGGGTGGGGGCAGACTTGGGGCCCCTGGTGCCCAGGCTTTGGCTAGAGGTGCCACATGGTTGGTTCTCCTTCCTCCACCAGGCGGTGGCCAAGATCCGAGAGTTCATCCTGCAGAAAGTCGTCTCCTTCCGCAAACCCATGACCAACTACCAGATCCCCCAGAATGCCCTGCTCAAGTACAGGTAGGAGGTGGGGACAGGCGGCTGCGATGTCTCCCAGCATGCCCCAGGGCTCCTGGGGAGCAGCCTGGGGGTCTCCCGTAATGCTTTGGGCGCGATCCCAGCCCACTCTGTTGGGGGACCAAGGAGCACCATGCAGACGTTCATGCTAGGTTTAGGGACAGCAAAATTGGGATGGCCCCCTCACCTTTTTATGGGGTGGGGGAACAAGTGAAGTTCATCCTCTTTTGGGGGGGGTGTCAGGTTTTTCTACCAGTTCCTGCTGGGCCATGAGAGGGTCATCGCCAAGGAGGTGCGGGACGACTATGTGGACACCATGAGTAAGATCTACCTCAGCTACTTCAAGTCCTACACCAACCGCCTGATGAAGCTCCAGGTGAGCTCCCTGGGCAGGGGGCCTGGTCTCCCCCTTCCCCCGCTCCGGATGCGGGGGGCCCTCCCCCTCCAGCTCCATGGTCCGCTGTGCCAAATGGGGCCCCGTTTTCTGTCTCCTGAACCTGCAGTACGAGGAGGTGGCTGAGAAGGATGACCTGATGGGGGTGGAAGACACCGGCAAGAAGGATATCCTTCCCGAAGGGGCTGGATCAACAAGTGAGGGAGGTTTGCAGGCAGCTTGGCTTTGTCCCCACCCCCCACTCCATCTGCCCCCCTCCTGGCTCATGTTTGGGGTTGGGGGAGGGGCAGGAAGGGTCCTGGCCTGGGCACGGACAGCACTTATGCCACCCGGTGGCCCTTGACTCCGGCTGCCTACACGCTTCTTCTCTAAGCCGTCCCTCCGCAGCCGGAACACCATCTTCACTTTGGGGAACCGGGGGAACGTGATCAGCAGCGCCGAGCTCGAAGGGCCTATCATCGTCCCCCACTCGGCGCAGAAGAGCGACGTCCGAGTAAGTCCGGCCATGCCCCGCTCCCTGGGAAAGGCGGGTTGGGGGGGCAGCGGCCCGAGGGCTTGGCAGGTTAAGATGGGAGTGTCAGGATTCCAGCGATCGCCCTAATGAAATCATGAGCCTCGAGCCAAACTTCAAAACACCTCAAAGAACTTATTAGGAGCGACATACTGGCATGACCTGTATGAAGCCAACTCTGCCATATATAATTTTACAGTCGCCTGTGACGCTGTTTCCCTCCTCCCCCCCCCTCCCGGGTGTGTCATAAATCAGATTCTCCAATTAAGCGCTTCACAGCCTGGGTGTTCGTCAATCACGTTCTCCAATTAAGGAATTTCCCTCCGGTAACTTAGCTACAATCTTTTTGAGTTAAGGTTGCAATGTGCTCCTGAATTCATTTGCCATATGCTCTTCAGGTTCCCCACCACATCTCCTCTTTCTAATGGCAACTTGGAAACAGGCATGGAAATGTTTTACCGGGAGTTGCCAGGGAGGCTCCTAGGAGAGCCCAGAGCATTTGCTAAGTGTGCCCCCCCCCTTGCTCCCCGCCCCCCGGTCAGTGACAGTGGCTCACTTCCCAGAATGCAATAGGGCCGCCTTTTGACTTTGTGGGGATGGTTCCACGCAAGGGGCGGGTGAACACATGAGCGCATGCAGCTCGCTTGGCTTCCGCGGCCTGGTTCCCAAACGGGCCCGGTTGTATGTAGAAGAGTCCAGATCAGCAAGTTTTGGGCTCATAAGTAGAGCCTGGCTGGGAATGAGGGTAGTTGTAATCCAAAGCAGGGGTCTCCAACCTTGGCAACCTTTAAGACCTGTGCACTTCAACTCCCAGAATTCCCAGTGGCCAAGGTTGGAGACCCCTGGTCCAGAGCACGGGACCACCTGGCTGGGAGGTCATTCCATTTGGGGTTTGCTTGATTTTTGTGGGGGAGGGAGGTGGTGGGAGCCGGGGAGGGTTGGGGGGTATCCTGAAGGCCCTGCCCCTTTGGCCCTGCCAATGTTGCCTTCCCCTTCCCTTCCCCGGCACAGTATCCCTTCGAGTCTCTCTTCCGGAGCCAGCACTATGCCCTGCTGGACAACAGCTGCCGCGAATACCTCTTCCTCTGCGACTTCTTCCTGGTGGCCGGCAGCCCCGCCCTGGACCTCTTCAACGCCGTCATGGGCAAGACCCTCGCCATGTTCCTCGTGAGCATCTGCGGCTGCGGCTGGTGGGGGAGGGGGGGCTTAGACCAGCGGGAAATCGAAGCTCTTTAATAAAATTTAACGAACAGGAGTAGTGGGCACAGGATAGCAGGATTCCAGTATTTGAGGGGCTGCCCCAAAGAGGAAGGGGGTCCACCTATTTTCCGTGCACCTGAAGGCAGGATGTGAAGCAATGGGTGGGAACTAACCAAGGAGAGAAGCAACCTGGAACTAAGGAGAAACTTCCTAGCAGAGAGGACAATTAAACCAGTGGAACTGCTTGCCACCGGAAGTTGTCGCTGCTCCATCCCTGGAGGTTTTTAAGAAGAGATTGGACGGTCATTGGTCTGGAATGGTATCGGGTCTCCTGGTTGAGCAGGGGATTAGACTGTGGCACACATGCCAGAAGTGGCACACCGAGCCATCTCTGCGGGCAAGCAAGCCGTCGCCACAGCTCAGTATCACTGTGCATGTGCGCACATGCCTCCCACCAGTCAGCTGATTTTCGAGTATCTGCGTGAGGGGCAGGATGCATGTGGGAGACGCGTGCACAGGGGGGGCAGGGGAGCACGGTGGGGTTGCGCGTGCATTGCATTATGGGCAATGGTGGGATTCAAATAAGTGAACAACCGGTTCTTTGCCCTAATGATTTCTTCTAACAACCAGTTCACCAAACTGCTCAGAAAGTTAACAACCAGTTCTCGTGAACCGGTGCGAACCGGCTAAATCCTATTGACAGCTGAATTTGAAAGCTGACTATAAATGTAAGGCATCCAGAAAGTATCCATGATACCAATCACTCCAAGACATTTTTTTCTCCAATTGATTTATTTAGAAACAGATCTGGTATGTCTAAAGCAATTTCCCAAAGTGAAATTATTTTTGCGCGTTACACAGAATCCACCTTCTCTCCTCCCACTTCGACACTTCACAAATCACGGGAACCCATGAACTGCAACTGGGATTTCTTCATACGACATACAGAATAACCTTGAACTTTTCAACTCCTCCAACCCCCTTCCAATAAAATGTGGCAGCTAAATTTTAAAGCTGACAGGTGTCCCCCCCCTTGAAAACTACTCCTCCTAAAAGAAAAGGAAAAATAAATCCAGATACAGGGGTTAACACATTGTCCTTAACCCCCTTTCCCCCTTCCACGCTTATGGGTGCAGGCACGCATACACGCTCGCATGTGCAACCGTACGCCTTTGGCGTGCGACGACAAAAAGGTTAGCCATCACTGGACTAGAAGACCCCCGAGGTCCCTTCCTACTCATTATTTTCTTAAACTTCCTGGTTTTTGTTGACGCGGAGCTCAAAAAGAATCGAAATTTCAGGCATAAGCTGGAGACACCCCTTATCCACCTCTTTCCAGATCTTCCAGCCATGGGATCTTAACGCCTGGCCCCAGAAGTCATAGAACCCTTTGGGAGGGGTGGGGACCGAGAGTTGGGGGAGGGTCCTTCCCATGTATCTCATCTCTCATCCCCGCCTTTCCTCCCTCCCTCCCCGCAGAAGCACATGGATGCCTACGTGAGCGACTGCTACGATAGCATTGCCGTCTTCCTCTGCATCCACATCGTCCTTCGCTTCAAGGCTCTCGTGGCCAAGCGCAACGTCCCGGCCATCGACAAGTGAGCCCCCTTTTGCCCCCCCACCCCTCTCCCCATCTGTCCCTCCCTCTTGGCCAACTGGGTCTGGTGGGGGTCTTCTGTCTGGGTGACACTCCCCCCTTTGCAGTGGTGGGATTTGTCAGCCTTCAAGACTCCTTTCTTTTGCTATCTTTTTGGCTGTCATAGTAACGGGGGGAAGGCGGAGCTACGTCGCCGCGATACAGCTGCAATCTCGGGGCTCCGAGATCGCAGCTGATATCTTCGCCCCTGGTCGGTCCCAACGGACTTAAACCGTCCCGTAGAGACGGTGATAGCAAGGGGCGCATTCTGTTGATCTCAGGGACATCGCTAAGTCCCTGGTTGATCCAGGAGAAGCCCCTTTACCATCGGCGGAGAGGCAGCCATTAAGCTGCTGAGAAAACTTTCTTGTTTATGCTTACTTGCTTACTGCGCAGCTGCAGCATCTTCTCTTACCAGGCCAAGTTCAACGTCCAGATGTCTGCATCACCCCCTGAAGATGCCCCACAGGACATGATGCACATCTTCGATATTGGATGGACCGCTTGAACTAGGATGGGTGGGAACGTTGGCATCACTTTGTATATGTGATTTCCACGTGTAAATCCTCAGGTCTAGAATCCTTTCGATGCTACCACTTGATTTCCAGAAAAAGTTCATTTTCTCTATAACAATGGAGTCTCACGGTGCCTTTCTTGGATTTTGAATGGAGCCTCACCTGACATTACTCAAGATCCAAGAAAGAGACCCTAAGATTCCGTTGTTATAGAGAAAAGGAACTTTGACTGGAAATCCAGCGGGAGCATCGAAAGGATTCAAGATCTGAGGTATTAGGCATGAAAATCACATATGTAAAATGATGGCAACGTTCCCACCCACAATAGCGGGTGACAGGATTCTAATTTTTGTACTACCGGTTCTGTGGGCGTGGCGTGGCTTGGTGGGTGTGACGGGAAGGATACTGCAAAATCCCCTTCCCCTCCCCATCCGTCTAACCTGCTTTCCAGCTCTGTTGTAAGCGTTGGACTTTTTTCCCTTCAACTGAAAAGAATGAACTGCTGAAAACCAGGGGTTTCAAAAGGAATCCTTTATTGCGGGGGTCCCCAACCACCGGGCCCCGGACCGGTACCGGTCCGTGGAACATTTTCTACTGGGCCGCCGGTTTGCTGGGCGCCGCCATCTTGTTTCAATGAGAAAGTGCTTCCGGGTGAGCTTTTCCGGTTGGAAAGCGGCGTTTGGGTCCTGAAGGAATCCTCGCGCCTTAGTTTCATCGAAGGGGGTGGTGGCTTCGAATGAAACTAAGGCGCGAGGATTCTTTCAGCACCCAAGGCAAGGCGAGCCGTGCGACCGTCCCGAAGCCGTCCCGAAGCCCATTGACAAAGGTACAAAGGAGGAGTTGAAGGTGGCGGGGAGAAGCGGGGGACGGCTGGCTGGCCAGTCACTCAGCTCGCCTTGTCTTGTCATGCGTGCTGATGCCGGTACCGGGCCGCGGATCATTTTGTGATGCTGGTACCGGGCCGTGGCACAAAAAAGGTTGGGGGCCACTGCTTTATTGAACGGGATTTTATCTCAACACTGGGCAAAGCAGAGTCTAAGATATCCCCAGGCATACAGTCATAGATAAAGGGAGTTAGAACCCCTCCCCTTATTCAGGTGTGGATTTAGTCAAACAAAGAACCAACATGTTAATTCCCCCCCTCCCCTTCTCTGGGGATGTGTCTTAGGGAACATTCTCTGGAATGTTCCCAGGATCGTCTTCCAGAGCTGGACTTTTTATGGTCCCTTCTCATCTTGTTATCTCTTCAAGAGGTGACAAGTTTCTAGACATCTGGCTCCACTCCTCCAGTTGTATATCATATGCAAGTTATACAGAATCAGTATAGGATTTAATATATTCAGGTTACATCAAAAAGGGTTACTTGTACCAACTCTCCCCCACCTTCTCCCATTGAAGAATGGCAGATACACGGATCTCCTGTGCAGGGCAACCAAAGGAGACCCAGCTGGTCAGCTGGGACTCGATAGGAGGCAGAGAATAGATGGGGTTGGTGGGGCCAGTCAGAGGTGGCATTGGCTGGGTATCTGAACTACTCAAAAATTTCCGTTACCGGTCCGAACCGGCTGAATCCCACCTCTGCCCTCTGACCCATATCCCCTTTCAAGGTACTGGGACACACTGCTGGAGCTGCTCTGGCCGCGATTTGAGTACATCCTGGAGCTGAACATCCATAGCATCCAGAGCACGGACCCCCAGAAGCTGGGCTTCCTGGACACGCGGCCCCACTACGTACGTGTGTGCGCGGGAGTGGCGCTCCCCGTCGGGAAGGGAGGGGTGGACGCCTGCCCCCCCCCCCCACGCTCAGAGGGGAGGGCAGAATGTGAAGGCTGGAAAGGCGCGGTGGTCTTATGGCCAAACGGCTCCCCACAGTTGCCGGAGATGCGCCAGGGGGCCTGGCAGTGGATTGGACCATAGCTGGGGAGGGTCTGGTAGGGATGGCCAGGACGCTCGCCTGCCTGTGGTCCAGCCAGGAAGGAGCAGGTTTCATATGGCTGGGTCTGGAGAGCCCAGAGGCCCCTCATCCTGCTTCTCTGCTCTCCTGACCCCCCGCGCCCCCCCACAGATCACCCGGCGCTACGCAGAGTTCTCCTCGGCCATCGTCAGCATCAACCAGACCTTCCCCCACGAGAGGACTTTGGCCCTGTTGGGGCAGCTCCAGGTGGGCTTTCATCTCTTGTAGGGCAGGTGAGATCTTCCTTGCAAGGGGAGCAGCTTGTCAGTCCTGCTGAAGACCCAGAGAATGTGGGGGGAGGGGCTTCCCCTCCCCAGATAGGTGCCTCAAGGGGACCTTTCATCCCCCCTCACGGCTGTTTGCATGGGGCATCGCCCACGGTGCAACAAACGTTTGATGAACTGTCTTGTTTCCTGGTTCTCTACCGCAGGGTCGCCAACCTTTGGGAGCTCAGGGACCACCAAACGCATAATTTTAGATCCCAGGGTCCACTAACCGGTTCTGTGGGCGTGGCCTAATTTGTTGGGTGTGGCTTGGTGGTCCTGTGACTGGCTGGGCATGGCTTGTATGTAAATATTATAAATATGTATATAAATATTGGATTTTTTATTTTAAAAAAGAGCAACTTTTACCCCAAATCAGGCAAAGCGGGCAGGCAGATTTGAGTTGCTCACAGAATCATTCAGTGATCTATCTATCTGCCATCGGCTAGCTCAGTCTGTCCCATAAAATTTGCTTGCCGTGAGTCTGCACGGAATAATCGGACCTTCATTCCTAAGGGAGGTTCGGCTGTGCTTAAAAGCAGAGCCGAAGATGTAAAGACTAGCTAGAAAGCAAGAAATCCAACCATTTCCTGCTTCCTAGATGATCTAAATCTCCCGGCACAGCAGAACAGCTGATGGTCCAAAAAATAGCAATCCTGCCTCTCCTTGGCCCATCTTGCTAACCTCTGGCCTCAGCCTGGCCTTTGAGGGTAGGGTAGTCTCTTGCACCTCCTAGAAGTGTGTGTGTGGGGGGGGGGGGCTTGCATCTCCTAATATTGGTGGGGCTGGGCTGGAGATTGGGGCTGGGCCTTCCTCTGATGCTACCTGCTTCTCTCCACACACCTCCCGCCAGACCGAAGTGGAGAACTTTGTCCTGCGTGTGGCGGCCGAATTCTCCTCCCGCACCGAGCAGCTCATCTTCCTCATCAACAACTACGACATGATGCTCGGCGTCCTGATGGTACGCAGGTGCCCGGCAAGAGGAGGGAGGGATAGAAAGACAAAACCTCACACGCACATCCAACTTTCTCCCCCTTGCCCTCCCCAGGAGCGAGCGGTGGAGGAGAGCAAAGAGGTGGAGGGATTCCAGCAGCTGCTGAATGCCCGGACACAGGTGGGTCGGGGTGGCTGGGTGTTGCAGCTTCCATTCTCAGGGCCCCCCACACTCCAAGAAACTGGGGGGTGGGGGGGCCTGCAGCCACATTTGGGAGGTGAGAGTCCTGCCTTTCCCTCCCCTGGGGTAACGGGGGAGAGGTGTTTGTGGTAGACCCCAGGCGCTGATGTGGAGCTGGCTCAGGCGCACGACTGATGCATTCTCCCTGTGTAGAACCAGACAGTTGATGTGCTCAATAGGTAGAGTGGAGGGGTGCCCCACGCCCACAGATGGAGAAGGGGGTCCCTGTGCCTCAGCTGAACCCATCCTCCCCCTCTTCCTTCCCTGGCAGGAGTTCATTGAGGAGCTCCTGGCCCCGGGGTTCGGGGGCATGATCGCCTTCGTGAAGGAGGTGGAGGGGCTGGCTGAGCGGGGCCAGCTGGAGCGCCTGCGAGGAGAGGAAGGTGAGTGGGGCACGGACTCTGGGAGAGGGGGGGTGAGGAGCAGGAGGAGGGGCTCTTGGTGCCGCTCACTCCCCCTCCCTCCTTGTCCCGCAGCCCGGGTGACGCAGCTGGTGCGCGGCTTTGCCGCCACCTGGAAGGCCTCAGTGGAGACTCTCAGCCAGGACGTGATGCGCTCCTTCACCAACTTCAAGAACGGGACCACCATCATCCAGGTGGGGGAGGTGGGGGCCCCGGGGGGAGGTGGGGTCCAGGAAGGGGTGGGGTCCGGGAAGAGGCGGGGTCCGGGAAGAGGCGGGGTCCGGGAAGAGGCAGGGTCCGGGAAGAGGCGGGGCCAAGCTCCTCACTTCCCCCTCTTCGCCTGCAGGGGGCGCTGACGCAGCTGATCCAGTACTACCACCGCTTCCACAAGGTCCTTGCACTGCCCCCCCTCAAGTCGCTGCCCATCCGCTCAGAGCTGATCAACATCCACCACCTGATGGTTGAGGTGAAGAAGCACCGGCCCAACTTCTGAGGGTGGAGCCCCCATCCTCAGCCTCCCCTCCCCTTGTACAGTCCCGTGAATAAATTATCTTTTGACTCAAGCGGCCTCCCTGGAACTGAGTGGGGAGTGGGGGCAACTGGAATTGGAGGCCAGACTCACCCACACTTCCCCACCCCCCACCCCCGCCCCCCCTTCCCGTACCATCACCAAGGGAGCAGCTTGCTGGTCGCTTCTCTTGTTCAGGCTTTATGAGTGTGTTTCACACTAGCTGGAGAAGTAGACCTCGAATTGAGCCCAACACCTCTGTTGCTAAGTGAGCTGGTTGTTAAGTGAGTTTTGTCCCATTGGATGACTTTTCCTGCCACGTTTCTTAAGTGAATCACTGCCATGATTAAAATTAGTAATACGGTTGTAAACTGAATCTGGTTTCCCCATTAACGATGCTTGTCGGAAGGTTGCAAAAGGGGATCGGGCGACCCCGGGACACTCCAGCTGTCATAAATAAGAATCGCCCAGTGGCTGAATTTGGATTGCGTGACCATGGGGAGGCCGTAACAGTTGTAAGTGTCAAAAACAGACATGCCCCTTGTTTCAACGGTCACTAAATGAACTGCAGTTAAATTGAAGACTGCCTGCCGTTCTCTAAAGAAGTAAACAGGTGTTTGTCCCTGTGTTTGTGTGTGAATGCAGTGACTGACAAAACTGACCCAGGTTAGCATGCTGACAGATGTGTGACATTACAATTTTTGGGTACCAGATGCAGGCAATCCTCCATGTACAATCACAATTGGGACTGGCAAATCCATTGTCAGGCCATGCAGTGAGGCATCACACACCACCATTTGCCATCTTTTCCACTGGCTTCCCCACTGGGTTTCCCTCTGGCTTCCCCACTGCGTTTCCCTCTGGCTTCCCCACTGGGTTTTCCTCTGGCTTCCCCACTGCGTTTCCCTCTGGCTTCCCCACTGCGTTTCTCTCTGGCTCCCCCACTATGTTTCCCGCAGGCTTCCCCATTGTGGAAAGCCAGCTGAGAAAGCTGCAAATGGCGATCAGGAGACACAGTGCTCACAAATGCCAAGCTAGGCACCCAGATTGTGATCACACAACTGCGATGAGGGTGTTTCACTGGTCATAACTCTGAGAACTGGTTGTAAGTCACTCTTTTCAGCACTGTCCCGTTAGTCGCTAAACAAACGGCCATAAGTTAGGACCAACTGCATTCCTACCCAGAGAGATTTTGAGAAGACCCTGAATACAACATGCAGCTGGAACTCCCCGCCCCAGATATGATACTGGCTTCCTTTTGCTGGCTTTGCCTCCCTCCCTTCTCCCACAACAACAGCTGTGGTCCGACAGCCACACAACCTGCAAGCAGAAACTCTGCTGCTAAAACTCTGGGGATGCAACCTACGTCCCACAAAGTACCCACAACTGTTTTTCCCGGAGGTCGACAGCCTGCAGGGAGGAAGGATGCCATGTTGGCTCAGGAAGGTAGTTTGTGTGCTCGCACAAATGTTTGTGGTATGTTCCTCCCTATGTTTGTGGTGCATTCCAAGCCAGGGAAAACACCCTACGTTTTGGTACGTTCCAAGCCAGGGGTGCTCAACCTTGGCCACTTTTAAGACTTGGGGACTTCGACTCCCAGAATTCCCCAGTCCCCAAGTCTTAAAGTGGCCAAGGTTGAGCACACCTGATGGTGGGATCAACCTGGGCAGGTGGGAAAGCATCAACCAATGGGCTGTGTTGATCTTGTCCTGTTGGCAGGAACTGTCTCTTTTGGAAACCCACAAGTGGTGCAAGGGGGGGTGCACCTGTCATTGAGGGACCCTCCCTTTAAAACAGGGAAAGAGGAGGTGGGATCACAAGACAGACCCCCCACCACCAAAAAAAATCAGCAAAACGATCTTCCAAGGTGCCCCATGTCCTCCCACAGCTCCTTCCGCCCGGTTGTTGCCGTACGGACACGCACTTCCTGGCCAAGAGAAAATTCAATCGAGTTGCTTTACATTTCCCGCACCCAGAAGTGAGATCTCAAACTTACCTACCCCCGCCCCGACACACAGCCATTTCCAAGATTTCAAATTTGCAGCAAGGGGGGAAAAAAACACACGTTCTTTTTAATATGGATTCCATTAAATAATATAATTAATTTATTATTATTTTTTTGTATAAAAACAAAATAAAATATACGTTTCCTCTTCTTCGGATTTTCTTAACTTTTGTGCAAGGGATAAAGGGGGAGGGATGGGGAGAGGAAGAAGAGGGAAATGGGGGGAAGGTGCTCCTCGGACGACGTGGAAGCCCACCCCCCATTTCCAAGCCTTCCCCCTCCCCCCCGAATTTAAGGGGAGGGAGGCAAGGCTGAAGTTGCTATCAGTGGGGCTGGAAAGGGCTGGAGTAGGTGGGACTCAGGAGGGGTTTAGTGGGGTAGCAATGCATCCCTTGCTGGCCAGGGCCTCCGCTATTTGGAGGGAGGGGGTCTCCATCAGCAAGGTAGGAAGCACTGAAGCAGGATGGGGCCCATCTGGGCAGGTGGGGAATTCGGCAAGGAGGGAGGGGGTTCAGCAGCACTGAGGAGGGGCGCACAGAGGAGAGAATTTGGAAGGAGAAAATTTCCAGGGGGGGCTGGTGAGTCCCTGGGGGTGGGCCTCTGCGCCCCTTGGATCTTCCAGTTGCTGGGCCTCTGGCGGATCCTCCCCCCGTGGTCTCTGTTGTTTGTTGGGCACCAGGAAGGTGTTTCCCTCCTCCTTCCGGCTGCGCTGGGGGGTCTCCGCTCTAGCCAAGGAAGCAGGCAGCCCCCACCTCAAAGCCGAAGCGCTGCCCAGTCTCCCCAAAGTCTGCCAGGTGCACGTCCAGCAAGGGCAGGTGCTCCACCTGTGGGGTGTTGACTTCCAGGAGTGTCTTGCTGGACCCTTTCCGTGCCTGGGGGGGACGGGGAGGAAGACAAGGGTCAAAGCTGGAGGTGGATCACTGCCCTCCACCCCCAAAGAGAAGCCGGGAGCCCTGCTTTCCAACAGCTGTCCACCGGTCAGGAAGGTGTGGGAACCGGGAACGCCGGGACCTCCATTTGGGGGGACTATTTTGTCCTGAACCTGGAAGCCCCCTGCATCTGCCGTGTCCCCCCCACCTACCCTCTGCTGAGCCAAGGAGTGCCCCCAAACCCCCAAACCCCCAAAGCTATGGGAGGGGAGCAGCATCAGCAGCCGATAGTGGGAGAAAAGGAAGCGCCTGAGGACACCCCACCCCCCCGAATCCATCCATGTGGGGATGGAAAGCGCAACACCTTTCGTCCTGCCCTCTCTTGAGTAGGGGTCCCGTTCCTCCACCCCACCACCCTTGTGGTTGTTGTCCCCCCCCATCCCAGTCCCCTCCCGGGCGCTCACCGCACAGCCGTCCACCAGGGCCTTGACATAGGGGCTGTTGTCGTAGCTCAGGTCGTCCTCGTTGGCCCCCCGGAAGCGCAGGGCCTGTTGGTAGCCCCCCAAGGCGGGGGACCCGGAGCTGTGCCAGGCAACCGAGTGCTGGCAGTGGTAGGTGAAGTTCTGGCGGGCAGAGGTGCTCAGCAGGCGCAGGAAGGAAAGCTGCACCACGCCCAGCGGGTGGCTGTCTGCGTCCACGTAGGAGAACTGGGGAAGGACCAGGGATGAGGGGGAGATGAGGATCTGGGGGGGTTGGGGTGACTGCTCTCAAGCAGAGGATGCCGGACCCTAAGCTGGAGGGTGGGCTGGATGGCCTTAAGGGTTCTGTCCCTCCTCCATGGGGGGTTCCTCTCCACACCTCCCTGCACGGATCCTTTCACACAGCAAGCCTCCTGCACTGAGGGACCCAATGTACTGTGTTGGTGTCCCTATCCAGAATCAACCCAACGGGGCTGTGTTCAGACAACCCACCAAGTTCCAAGAAAAAGGAAGTCAACTGCCCCAACACACACACACACACACACACACACACACACACACACACACACACA